TTGCATTCATCCCCGCCTCTATTAGGGTTGTGTGGGTGGCAGCCAGTCAATGTGTCTCTCTCACATGGATCTCTCTCTCTCTCTCTCTCTCTCTCTTTCTCTCTCTCTCTCTCTTCCTTCCTCTCTCCCTCCAGCTCTATCTGAGGATAAATGCAGAAGTGTCCTTGGGTGAGGAAAAAAAAAAAGAATAGATGGTAATTAATGAAGTAAGACCATTTACAAGTTTAACTATGCTCAACGCTATAAAGAGAATTTAGGTATGTTAATTGTTCAGTACTCCAAAAAGATCATTTTTCTAATAATATTCATCCATTCAACAAACATTTATTAAGCATCTATTAGTGTTAGGTATTGTGCTAGACACCAAAAATGTAAGTAAGGGTATATGAATCACAGTTCCTGATCTTAAAAGGCCAACCAAGAAAAAAAAGTAACTACAATGGTTGATCTTAAAAATTCTCATCACAAGAAAAGAAATTTTGTAACTACTTATGGTGACAAATGTTAACTAGACTTATTGTGGTAATTATTTGACAATATATACAAATATTGAATCTTTACGTTGTACACCTGAAACTAATGTAATGTTGTTACATGTCAATTATACCTCAATTTAAAATAAAATTTTAAAGTACCCAACATGATAAATAGATACATTTTTACTTATAAGAGTCATTCAAAAATAAACAAATAAAACAACACACACACACAAAAAGAAAAGTAAATTTACATAGCAACATGCTATAACTTATACATCAGAATTAACAGGTGGACAAAAGCTACCCGTGTCAGAAAAGACACACGATTCAATTACTCCAAATTTAAGAACTGGCATTCAGGATGCCTGGCCTCTAGTTCTAGCTTGTAGCTATCACTAATGCCCTTGGGGAGTATTTAAATTCCCTCTGCATTTCAACTTTCTCACCTGCAAAAGAGCAGTGAATTTTTCACTATGTGGTCAGGGTCAATTTCAGATCTTTTGGAGGAAAACCAGAACATCCTCAAGGGCTTCTGTACTTAAAGTCCAAATACAAAGTGCACTAGTCAATCAATCATTCAGTCAGTAAGTATCTATTGATTATCTACTGAGTGATCTCCATGGTGCCAGGTCCTGTAGGGAACACATACAAGAGAAATAAAATGATCACTTTCTTCAGCTGCCAGTCTTGTTGGAGAGAAAACAATTAATATGCAATAATAATCAAGAAGGAAATTAATAAATGATATGCCAGATGCTGTTCATCTTTTTAGACTGTAAGGATCTTTTATATGTTATGTTATTTAAAAGTAAGCAAGTATGGCCCTTGCCGGTTTGGCTCAGTGGTTAGAGCGTCATCCTGTGGTCCAGAGAGACCTGGGTTCGGTGTCCGCTAAGGGCGCGTACCTCGGTTGCAGTTTGTCCCCGGCCCTGGTTGGGTCGTGCGGGTGGCAACCACTTGATGTGTCCCTTTCACGTCAATATTTCTCTCTATCTCTCTCTTTCCCTCCCAATCTATCTGAACAAAAAAATGGAAAAATGTCCTCGCGTGAGGACTAAGAAAAAAAAGAATAAGCAAGTATAATCAAAAGGTAGACTGTGCAGTCTGTTCAGAGCTATAGAAGGCTGGAGGAGAGAGATATCAATTAGGCTACATTGAAATTAGAGGATCTGAACTGAGCCAAGATGTTGAACTGTTCAGGAGCAGGTGAAGTTGAATAGACAGCAGCACATTCCAGAGGAAAGTGATCAAACCCAAGGGAGACAAGGAACAGAACAAGCTAATTATGGTGTATCTATGGGCATGTGCTTTTACTGAAACAGAGGTCTTATAGACCGGTGATTGTGAACTTCAAAAGCCTAATTAAAATTTTTCAGGAATGTCAATTTAGAAGAAAATATGTAGGAAGAAAGAAAATATTTGAAATAGAAAGAGGACAAAATTTCTAGAATAAGGAACACATGTGATAAAAGAGATTTAAGGGACATTGATCTGGTAATGGCATGTTGACTAGATTTTAGGGTGCAGCAACTAGATCATCAGAAGTTTGTCTCCTTCTGAACCCAAATTTCCAATTTCTGCAACACCTAAATCATAAATTTTGCTCTTATCATTTACAGAACAGCATATCACTTAGAGATTGTAGATCTGTTATTTGGTTTACTGAACCTGCAGTGACAGATGGCTTATGCAATATAAAGCACTAATCCTACTTTGTCCAATTTGAGATTTGTCAAGCAATGATTCCTCAAAAAGAGAACAGTTGCTTATTTTCCCAACTTTTATTCTTTCACTCTCTTCCTATCTACCTTTGGATCAGGTTTGAGTTAAAACAAGGTTGGCCTTGGCTGGGTGGCTCAGTTGGTTGGAGCATTGTCCCATGCACCAAAAGGCTGCAGGTTCAATTCCTGGTTAGGGCACATACCTAGGTTGTGGGTTCAATCCCAGTCAGGGTGTGTGCGAGAGGCAACTGATTGATATTTTTCACATCAATGTTTCTCTCTCTCTCTCTCTCTCTCTCTCTCTCTCTCTCTCTCAAAATAACTTTTAAAAAACATTTTAAAAAATAAAAATCAATTAAAACATCCTCAGGTGAGAATTAAAAAACAAAACAAAAAACAAAGCAATGTCAGCAAAGTAAGGCCATTAATCCTTTTCTTTTCTTTAATTTCTAGGCATGATGAGTGCCCGGCAGAGGTGAAATAAGGCCACAAGTCCTGTGGGGGTCCTCAAAGTTTTCCTGGGATGAGAAGTTGGAGGTCAAAGACAAAAAGAATAAAAATGAGAGCTGCCACCCTGGCAGTGTGGCTAAGTTGGTTGGAGTGTCATCAACCTATCAATGTTTCTCTCTCTCTCTCTCTCTCTCTCTCTCTCGCTCATCAATAAGCATATTCTTGGGTAAGGATTTTTTTTAAAAAACTAGAGCTGCCACAGCAACTGCCCTCTCCACACGCTGGCTGAAGAGAGATTGGAAAAAAGAATGGAGGAGTAGTTAAATAGGAAGAAGTAAGTGGAGGTAAACAACGCCACCTATTTTCTTTCTTTTTTTTTTTTTATCCTCACCCCAGGACATTTTTCCATTTTTTGTTCAGGTAGAGTGGGAGGGAGAGAGAGGAACAGAGAGAGAGAGAAACATCGATGTGAAGGGACACATCGAGTGGCTGCCACCCGCACGACCGACCAGGGCCGGGGACAAACTGCAACCGAGGTACGCGCCCTTAGCGGGAACCGAACCCGGGTCTCTCAGGACCGCAGGCCGACGCTCTAACCGCTGAGCCAAACCGGCCAGGGCAACGCCACCTATTTTCAAGTGCAGGAGAGGAACCATGGGGCCAGTTCAAGATGCAAACTCAGTTCTGCAATGACCTGGAGCATCAAAGGAAACTCTTGGGCAGAAACCCTCCCCAGAAATATTCGCCTTCTGCCCCTCCTCCTCTGGGTCCGGCCTCTCTCTTTATCTCCATCCTACCTCCCTCCTCCTCTACCAGAAACTAGTCTTTTTTTTCTTTTTAAATGCAGACTCATTTAAACTGTTGAAAGGAGAAGGCCAAGGAGTTCTTTTGGTTGCACACAGAAGGGGGTAACATTTGATTTTTAAAAGTTATACTTTGTGTTTGTGTATCTACCTCATCTATCTAAATATATATACTAACCAGTTACCCTTTTATAAGCAGATCCTTGAGTGAACTTGATTTCCAAGCATATTTGGAATCCTCACAAAAGTTCCTTACTCTCACATTTTGTCTCTTTCTTTTTCCCTCCCTTCTCTTCTGGCTCACCTCTCCTCACTGTCTTTTCCCCTCTTCCCATTCATGGCAGAAGAACACACAAAGCAAGAGAAAATATGGAAAATTTCTTTTTTTTTTTTTTTTGGTATATGCCCCTAGCAAGGACCGAACCCGTCACTCTTTAGTTCGCAGGCTGTCGCTCCAACTGCTGAGCCAAACCGGCCAGGGCAAAATATGGAAACTTTCTGAAGAAATATTGACTCTAATAGAGGAGACTGACTTTCTGAAAAAGGTGGACTGTGAAGGGGAACCTCTTCATCATTTCTGTCCATGGCCAAAGGATGTCCCTCTTTCCTGCATGGGTGGATCTGAAATTGTGTCACTTTTACCAAGGCACTACTCATCAAGGTTCCAAGAATCATGCTGCCTTCCTGCCTCTCACCAGAACCCCAGTGGGGATGAGATAACCTCCTCATCACCTTTATCACCCAGGCATGAGCTTCTGGCCACTGAACACAACACAGAAATGCTGTAATGTCGCTCTGTGTTGGAGAGTTAGAGGAGATCACCCTCCAGACTAGAGTTTAGATGGAACTTTCTGAACCCTTTCAAGATTCTGTTTTCTTTATTTCTAAAATCAGACATACTCCCATCATTTCTAATTCTTTGTTCTCCTCCCTCCCTCCTCTCTCTCTCTCTCTCTCTCTCTCTCTCACACACACACACACACCACTTTATTCTTTTTTACAAGAAGCCCTATCTAGTTGCCTGTGTTTTCCTCTATTTCAATTGCATGTAAAAGCCATAAAGTTTATGATTTGGAAATACTATAGTCGAATAAGGTAAGAGTACATGGAGCATCTGTACCACTGCTTCAGACCAAGTTATGATTACTACATTTCCACAGTGCCCTAACCCCACTCTGTGGTCAGTTTTGTATTGGATATGGGTAACCTTTAATATATACTATTCAAGTTTACTCATTCTGAACTAGTCTTTAGATTACTTGTCAGTCTTTAGCTTTTCAATCACAGGTATTCCTAAAGTAATAATTCTTGCTAATCAATAATAATTTCCATTAGCTAATCAATGAGCTTCCTTATAAGAACTTTGGCATGCATCTGAGTATTAAAATAGAGGAATGGGATGCAGTAGAGAAACCACCATTTATTTTTTAGATGCTAAGTATAGTATCAGACACTCAAGGTTTATTCTTAATCTCATTGTAATGATTTAAAAACAGAATAGGATGCTGATCGCCCAAGTTTTAATGTTTTAAAACATACTGGCTCTAGTGCTCGCTTCAGCAGCACATACACTAAAATTGGAGCGATACAGAGATTAGCATGGCCCCTGCATGAGGATGACACACGGATTCGTGAAGCGTTCCATATAAGAAAAACAAAAAACATACTGGCTCTATTTGTCCTATAAGTCTGACAAAGGTTTATTTCCATTTTTCTTCTTATGCAGTAATATAGTAGCTACCTGTTGTATTAAATACTCTCTTTCCATTCTAGCCTATTTAGAATTAATTTTTTAAATTAAAATACTTTTTTGACTCTTTCTGTCTCAATATTTCAGATGCATGCTGCTACATCCGACACATTTTACACCCACATTAATCAAAGCACAGAGATTATTACTAAAAATGTAAGATTGATAACACTGTCTTTTTAGACATCTAAAGCAAATACTATACTGCACAGAAAATAATATTCCACCCACACTCCCATCTGCCCTCCTTCTACTTCTTTCTCAACGGATCCTTACTAAAAGTTTTTATTTATAAGCCAAAGAAGCCACCACTCAAGAAAAGAAAAATTGATGGAATGTTCTTTACAACCAGATTTATTTTTAAGTGTTTATTGAGTAAACAAACAACACAAACAAACAAAAAGAATTAATCAAAGGCAGATGTGGTTTTTACGATCTGCCCAGGTTTGAAAGCAAGGAGAACAGAAGTCATCTTTCCCTGAAAGCCATATCGCTTTCCATTAGCAGTAATGTTGCCATTTATTTTTACAAAGCTCATTCACATCTAGGCTCCGCAATGTTTTCTTGAAAGTGCATTCATTCTTCACTCAAAAAATATTTATTTGACATCTATTATGTACCACACAAATTCAAAATACTGGGAACACAAGATTTTTCTTTTCCTACAGTGTATTTTCTAGAAGAGCATTGCATAATAGAACTTTCTGTAATGATAGAAATGTTCTAAAGCTATGCTGTCCAATATGGTAGCCACTAGCCGTGTGTTACTATTGAGACTTTAAATGTAGTTAACACTGTTTTGAAACTGTATTTTTAATTTTACTTAACTTTAATTCATTTAAATTTATATTTAAATAGCCACATGTGGCTAGTAGATAATATATTGGACAGTACACTTTAGTGAATGTATGAGTGATGTGTGTGTGTGTGTGTGTGTGTGTGTGTGTGTGTGTAGTGAGGGGATAGTGATACATAAATGAATAAGAAACACCAAATTGTACTAAGTGCAAAGCAGACTATTAAAACAGGGTGATATACTAAAGACTGTTAGGGAGGCTGCATTAGAATGGGGGGAACTCTGGCTGGAGTGGCTCAGTTGGTTGGAACATCATCCTGTACACTGAAAGGCTGCAGGTTCAATTCCCGGTCAGGGCACATGCCTAGATTCTGGGTTTGATTCCTGGCCCCGGTCAGGGCACGTGTGGAAGGCAACCAATCAATGTTTCTCTCTCACATTGATGTTTCTCCCTCCTTCTCTCGCTCCTTCACCACTCTCTAAAAAAATTCAGTGAAAAATTGTCCTCAGATGAGGATAACAAAACAAAACAAGAATGGGTGGTTGGGGAAGAAATCTGACAGAGTAATATTTAAGCTGAGATTGGAATGATAAGAAAGATCTATGCAAAGGTTAGGAGATGGTAAAGGGCCTATTTGCAGAAAACTATAGGACATTGAAAAAAGAAATAAAGGAAGATATAAAAATGTGGAAGCACATACCTTGTTCATGGATTGGAAGGATTAACATCATTAAAATGTTCATACTACCCAAAGCAATCTATAGATTCAATGCAATCCCCATCAAAATACCAATGACATACTTCACAGAACTAGAACAAATACTTCAAAAGTTCACATGGAGCCCTGGGCAGTTTGGCTCAGCAGTTAGAGTGTTGGCCTGTGGTCTAGAGAGACCCAGGTTCAGTTCCCGCTAAGGGCACGTACCTCAGTTGCAGTTTGTCCCCGGCCCTGGTTGGGTCGCGCGGGAGGCAGCCACTCGATGTGTCCCTTTCACATCAATGTTTCTTTCTCTCTCCCTCTCTCTTCCTCCCACTCTATCTGGAAAAAAAAAAAGGAAAAGTGTCCTCAGGTGAGGATAAAAAAATAAATAAAAAGTTCACATGAAACCAAAAAAGACCCTGAATAGCCACAGCAATCTTGAAAAAAGAAGGACAAGTAGGTGGGATCATAATACCGGATATAAGGTTATACTACAAAGCTAGTATAATCAAAACAGCCTAGTACTGGCACAAGTATAGGCATATAGATCAGTGGAACAGAACAGAGAACCCGGAAATTGACCCAAGACATTATGCTCAATTAATATTTGACAAAGGAGGCAAGAGCATACAATGGAGTAAAGACAGCCTCTTTAATAAATGGTGTTGGGAAAACTGAACAGCTACATGCAAAAAACAAAAAAAAAGACCATAAACTTATACCATACACAAGAATAAACTCAAAATGGATAAAGGACTTAAATGTGAGTCATGAATCCATAAAATACTAGAAGAAAATATAGGCAACAAAATTTCAGACATCATACGCAGCAGAATTTTCACTGATACATCACCTAAGTCAACAGAAACAAAGAAAAAAATGAACACACGGGACTACATCAAACTAAAAAGTTTCTGCACAGCAAAAGAAACAACCGTCAAAATGGAAAGGGAACCCACTGTATGGGAGAACATCATTGCCAATGATACATCAGATAAGGGGTTAATTTCCAAAATATATAGAGTGCTCATACAACTCAACAAAAAGAAGACAAAAACCCAATTAAAAAATGGACAGAGGACCTAAATAGATACCTCTCCAAACAGGACATACTAATGGCCAAGAGACACATGAAGAAATGCTCAACATCACTAATCATCAGAGAGATGCAAATTAGAACAACAATGAGGTATCACCTCACACCTGTCAGAATGGTCACCATCAACAAATCATCAAACAATAAATGTTGGCCAGGGTGTGAAGAAAAGGGAACTCCAGCCCTGACCGGTTTGGCTCAGCGGTTAGAGTGTCGGCCTGTGGTCCGGAGAGACATGGGTTCGGTTCCCGCTAAGGGCACGTACCTTGGTTGCAGTTTGTCCCCAGCCCTGGTTGGTTGTGCAGGTGGCAGCCACTCGATGTGTCTCTCTCACATCGATGTTTCTCTCTCTCTCTCTCTCTCTCTCTCTCTCTCTTCCTTTCTCTCCCTCCCACTCTACCTGAATAAAAAATGGAAAAATGTCCTTGGGTGAGGATTAAAAAAAAGGGAACTCTAGTACACTGCTGGTGGGAATGCAGACTGGGGCAGCCACTATGGAAAACAATATGGTGTTACCTAAAAAAATTAAAAATTGAATTGCCATTTGACCCAGTGATCCCACTTCTAGGAATATACCCTAAGAAGCCTGAAACACCAATCAGAAAGAATATATGTACCCCCATGTTCATAGCAGCACTATTTACAATAGCTAAGATCTGGAAACAGCCCAAGTGTCCATCAGTAGACAAATGGATAAAAAAGCAGTGGTACATATACACAATGGAGTACTATGCAGCTATAAGAAAGAAAGATCTCTTATCCTTTGAGACGACATGGAGGGACCTAGAGAGTATTATGTTAAGCGAAATAAGCCAATCAGAGAAGGACAAATACCACATAATCTCACTTATTTGTGGAATATAATGAACATAACAGTCTGAGGAACAGGGTAGACCGAGAGACGTGGAAGTAGGGTACAGACTAACATTCCTCAGAAGAGGGGTTGTGGGGGGAGGGAAGAGATAAACCACAGGACTTATATGAATGTACGCATAACCAATGGACATGGACAACAAAGCTGGGCACAGGGGCAGGGAGGAGGGTGTCAATGGGGAAAAAGGAGAAACATCTGTAAGAAAATAAATTAATAAAAAACATTTAAAAAATAATTTATACAATTTGACCTTATTTAAGTCATCTAACTAATGGGAAACTCTTCTGTTGCAATATCAAGTAATATAGCTAATATTTCAAATGTCTGTATTCATAAATAAACTGTTGATCCAAAAAAAAAAAAGATTAGGGGATGAACATCTCAAGTAGAAGGAACAGCTAGTGAACAGCCCTGGGGTAGAAGCCAGCAAAATGTTCCAACACCAAGGACAGAAGAGAGAGCAGTGTGGATGGAGAGTAGAGCATGAGGAGCACACAAGAATTGAAGCTAGAAAGTTATAAATGCATCTGTATTAGTTTTCTAAGGCTGCCATACAAAATACCACAAACTTGGTGGCTTGAAATAACATCAATTATATTCTCTCACAGTTCTGGAGATTAGAAGTCTGAAATCAAGGTGTCAACAGGACCTACTTCCTTCAAAGGCTCTAGACTCTGGGGGAGAATTTTCCCTCGCCTCTTCTCAGCTTCAATAATTGCTGGTATTCCTTGCTTTGTAGCACTATCACTCCAGTCTCTGCCTTTGTCTCTACAGGGCCTTCTTCTCTGTATCTCCTCTGTCTCTGTGTCCTCTCCAAACACACCAGTCATTGGATGCAGAGCACATCCTAAATCAGTAGGATCTTTATTATATCTGCAAAACCCTACTTCCAAATAAGGTCTCATTCTGAGGTTTCTAGTAGTCATTAATTGAGGGAGGCACTGTTTATGACCCACTACGGTGACGATTTTATAAGACTTTGAAAGCCAAATTAAGGAATTTGTCCTTTATCCTAAATGTTATGAAAAGGCATTAGGGGATTTGGAGTCAGGAAGTGACTAATATGATTAATGCTTCTAAAAAATCATTCTGGCTATAGGGAGACTGGATTTTAGACAAGAGTGAAAGAATGGAGACCAGTAAAGAAATCACTGCAAGAGCCCAAGGATGATATGACAGGCTTGGAAAAGACAGTGCTGGTAAAAATGGAAGAAGTGGAAAGATTTGAGATGTGTTTTGGAGTTAACGGAGGTAATGTGTTTTGGATTAACTGATGGGTTAGGTATGAAAATAAGAGATAAAGAAGAATCAAGGAAAATTCCTAGATTTGGGGTTTAAATAAAGAATGAGTTGCCATTTATATGCCAGGGCAGAACAGGAATTAGGCAGGCTCTGTTGGTGATGTTAAGTTTGAGATGCCTGTAGACAGCCAAG